TTTAGTAAGCGAGTAGATAAAATGCCACAAAAAGATTTCACAGTTATGAGCAATTATTTAAAAAGAGCATGTTATACTTTAATAAACATTATCTGATCTTGACACTGGCTAAACGAGCTGCTTAAATCTGTTCTGAAGGCTTGAAAGAAGTTGAAAAGTGAAATTCCATTCTCATGGATTATTTCTTCCAAAAGCAGTGTACTTTGAAACATCAGATTACAGCAATATGAATTTATATACCCATCATAATTAACCGACATAATTAAAACATCTTAATAATTAATTGGATTAATTTCACATAAACACACAATGGCAGTGCTTTCATTTAGACTGGAAACGTTCCCCACAGCACTAACACAGGGATTCCCAACCCCTGGGCTGCAGCTCACTACTGGGCCTTCAGCCGCTTGGAACTGGGCTGCAGAAGCAGCAGGCACGTGTGCGTGCATCCCCACTTGCGCAAGCAGGTGAGCGCTTGCACGTGCGCTCCATTAGTGCAAGGGGCAGGCATGTATGCCAGCTACTCACGCAAATGGAACTGCAATTACGTGTGCTTTCCGGGCGCTTGTGCAGAATCATCCCCTCTGTCTTCTCCCACTTAGTCTGCAAAGCCAGAAAGCTTTGGGGAACTCTCTTCTGGATGGAGAAATAGGCGACAGGAGAATCAAAACATGTTATGGAATCCTATCAGTAGAGAGCCAGGGCAGATATATAATTCTCCAGTCCAGAAATACCACAGAAAGTATTCGTTTGAAAGTACTCTTAGATCCAGTGCTGTCTCATGAAAGCCAAGTGGCACACAGCATTTTCTACCAGCTGTGACCTTTTCTAGACACAGATAAACTGTGATCCATTTTCATTGCTGAAATGCCTGTTGATTCAGCGTTCTGGTTGCTTTGTTTAGATTGAGCCATGTTTATCTCAACTTAGGAGCTACCTTGAGTGCTCATTCATTTCCAAAGAGCTAGTTCTTGGTTCAGTCAGTTCCTTTATCACCAGATGGACATGAGATGGCACTTTCAAGTGTGGGAGTGTGGAGAGTTAACACCTCTCTAGCTCCCTCTCATGACTGTCTCTCATTGTTGCTTCTCTTCCATTTGAGATGCTATCGTGGACCCACAGCAACTATGTACCCTTTCAGGCAAGTTTTGATATTCCATCCCCTCTTTCCACTACGAATGTCCTAAGCCTTCCTTCCACGGTTGTTACTGTTGCAGATTCTCAAAATTGAGGGAGGTGTCTCTTAACAGGATGTGATCATAATTTTTCCTATAGGGCAAATTTTCTCCTTATTTGTGTTTTGGAGGAAGATGGATCCTTCTCCCTCATTTCTAGTCAGAGCTGCATGGCATCTAAGGTTACTTCTCTTGCAGAATTATGTACTAGTAAAATGTGTACTTATCACCTATATTAACAATTAAGGAACCAGTTCAGCATTAAAAGGATGATGAGGAAAGGAGAAAGGAAAAAGTCCTGCCAGAAAGAAGGCCCTGTATACATAAACACACAATATATATAAAACAAAATGAAACTTAAGGTTACAAAGCAGTAGCTAAGAAAGACCCATAACATCATATTTTAATCATCCCAATTTATGACATTTTACTAAATAGGTACTCCTTCTGAATTATTAGTCCTAATTCTAGGCAGGACTGGAGTGGCAGGTTCTTCTCTTGTAGAAGCCAGCCAGGGGAGATTCCTTTCTCCTGTGATAGAAGAGAAAGAACCCAGGCTGAATAGAGAGGATCCCTCATCTTTTAAAAACACATATCAAAAAGAGAGAAAATCTTGGTTTACTCAAAAATACAAAGAGCTTCCTGGGCTTAGCTGGATCTCTGCCCGCTCTTTAAATTGACTTGCCTTCACTTCAGACATCATTTATTCCAGGAGTATATCGGAAGCCATAAATATGTTTATTGTCTACAAGGCGGCTTTATTTTGGAACCAACACTGGAATACCTCCAGCAGGATCCTGACTGCCAACAATGTATTTTTGATAGCAGGTTAAAGATGGAATCAGTGGCCCATGTGTGGTCTGTGGATTGTCTATCACTGCTTTACAATGGTAGTCCCAATCTTCTTGGATAAATATCTATCCAATTCTGACAATTCTACCTAACTATGGAATTGCTCAAAAATTTACAAAGTGAATTCAGTCATAAAGAACTATGCCATGTTATTATTTCAGCCACATATAATCTTCAAGAAATAAAATAAAAGCTAGATCCCCTTGGATTTCAGTCTTTTCTAGGAAAAAAAAGATTAGGCTTACATGGAAATTATAGATCTCCATTTCACCCCCTCTGATTGCGTAGGAATAATCCCCCAAGGAAGGGTAAGTGGGGGAAACCATCAAGAGAGATTCTAGCTTCTGGATCATCCAAGTAGAAGATTTTTGTTCTAAATACATCATCCCTGACAAGCATTTCTCTGAATGCCGGAAAAAGGAAGATTAGAACATAGCAAAACAAAACTGTCACCATCTTTCATAATCTTTTTCTCAACAAATCAAACGCTATTTTCCAATTTTCTGAGGAAAAGGACTCAGTCTTCCTTTAAGGAATAAAATAGATGGTTTGATAATAGCCTAGGGCAGGGGTGTCAAACTCACATCGTCACGGTGGTGTCACATGACATATTGGGTCTTTTACCCGCTTCGCTAAACTGGATTGGCATGGACAGCGTGTGATGCATCTGGCCCATGGGCCGGGAGTTTTGAGAGCCCTGGCCTAGGGCATCAATCTTCAATTACTGAATGAAGTGCAAAACATAATGACTCTTTGCCACCCCCTATTCCCCAACACCTGGTTTCTAGTAAAATTCCAGGTCTCAGTATTGGCTGTAAGGCTAGAAGACTAGGGAGCCATTTTTAAACCTTGTACTCCAACACTGGTGTGAAATAGCAGGATGCTTCTTTTTTTCCTAAATTAAAATAACATTTGAACTGGAAAAAACTATACATTAAGGTGATCTTTTACAGCAGGAGTGTCAAACTCGCAGTCTGTGGTCCGGCTGCCTCATATGCTGGCCACCTCTACCCCCATTTCAGCAAAAGGGGAAAAAGTCGTGATTTGTCATGTGACGTGAGTTTGACACCCCTGTTTTACAGGTTCTCAAAGAGGTATACATGATCGTCTTTTCAATTTAATCTTCACAATTACTTGAAGCAGACTAATCTGAGAGTTTGTTATTGGTGGTTCACATATCTCACTAAACTAAAATGTCCTTTGCTTAGGAGTATATTATGTGCATTGTGATAACTGTGGTTCATTCCACAAACAATAGTTTAGCGTGTGGCATGAGGATTCTGAATCAACTTGGTTCTTCCAAATTCCAGGAAAATGAAGTTTTTAGTTCTCAATCATGACATTTACCCTGCTGGTCTATAAAATAGAGAGATCACTTAGTAAGTCACAAAGCAGCTGGTCTTCTCCTACCTATTTCGACTATTATGTTGTAAGCACCTTCCAGAATATCCAGTTAGACTTGTCCTATCTGACAAAAATGGACACTAATGATAGTAAATATGCCAGAAAAAGAGACATTAAGTTTGATAGAACTTTCAAGTTTATGCAATTTAATTAGACTTTGTTTGTGTTATGAGACTAACACGGCTCTACCCCTACCTCCACTAATCAATGTTACAACGTTAAGTACTGTGTTCTAGAAGATCTTATACTACTTTGCAAAGTTAACCTATGCATGTTTATTTCCTGGGGAATGAGTTCAATCATCGTGTATAGTGTGTAATCCCTAGTAAAATTAATTAGGATTAGCTACTAATCCTAAAGCAACTAATTCTCTTTCATCCAGGAGGCCCTCTTGTTGCAACCCTCCAGGTACTGGTAGTCCTTGACCTTCAACAGTTCATTTAGTGACCATTCAAAGTTACAATGGCACTGAAAAAGGTGACATGACTGTTTTTCACACTTACAACCTTTGCAGCATCCCCTATATACGAAAATTCAGATGCCTGGAAGCCGGTTCATATTTATGACCGTCACTGTGTCCCAAGGTTATGTGATCCCCTTTTGCAACCATTTGACAGGGCAAAATCCATGAGGAGCCAGATTCACTTTTAATAACTATGTCGCTAACTCAGCGACTGTAACGATTCCTTTAACCACTGTGGAGAAAGGTCGTAAAACGGGGGCAAAACTCACTTAACGAATGCCTCACTTAGCAACCGAAATTTTAGGCTCAATTGTGATCGTAAGTGGAGGACAACCTGTATGGCTGACCTACAAATACTGTATAGCTCACCACCAGGCTTTCTAGACTTAGAGCTACCAGGAATCGAATTCGCCCAGTATTGGGGGGAAACTGGAGATTACCTCGCAACAGGAGTGGGGAGCATATGCCCCATTTCATTCAATGCGGGAAGAAGCATAACAGGCGGCGAACGCTCCAGTCCCGTCCCGTCCCCCTCCCCCCGCCCCGCACAGACCACGCACCCTTTCCCTTCCACCGCTTACGTCCGAAGAGACGTCACAATGCGCATAACAGTGGAAGCCCTTCACGTTAGGAAGCAGAACCCCGGGGAGGAGGAGGAGGAGGAGGAGGGGGTGAGACAAAAAGGAGCACTACATACATTTAATGTGGGTCGCAAAGGGGCGGCAACCTGAGCCACAACTCCGGGGAATACAGGTACCCAGCTTGGCCCACGCCCGCCCTTACTGGCTGCCCTCTCGGAACGTCCCCGGCTTTCTGAGAATTCCCCACCGGTGTTGTTGTGAGTCCCCAACGGACTCTTCCCCCCGCTCCCTCCCCCGCCCCCTCCCCCGCCAGACTTCTAGGATCCGAACTCCGCCCCGGACTGGGTGGCGTTACCTAAGCAGCAGCCATTAGCCGGGGCCGGCACTGCTTGTTTGTTTGTTTGCTCCCTTGGCCAATTGGGGAGGGGAGGCTGTCGCAAACCCCGAGCTCCACCTCCTCCTCCTCCTCCTCCCCGCCGCAAGCAGCCGCGCACCTCATATAACGTTTCCTCAGCCAGCAGTCGCCGGTTAGGCACAGGCGATTGGAGGAAGAGCGGAGGAAGCCGGGGAAAGGCGGGTGGTGACCGAGCAGCGGGAGAGAAACAAACAAAAAAAAGAGGAAAAAAAAAAAGCCGGCGCGGCGGGTGAGGTAAACGAGAGTCCCGGAAGGGCAGGCAGGCAGGCAGGCTCCGCCAGTGGCTCGTCTGGGAGCTGCTCCGAGTCTCCTCTTTGCCTTGCCCGCGGACACCTTGCTGGGTTCGGCCGCTCTCCCGTTCCCCAGCCGTGGTCTCCTCCCCCCCTCCACCACCACACGCGCCTCCTCCCGGGCGTGCGACTAGCTGGTGGCGGGGAGGCGAGGAGATGTACCCGCCGGGCTCCACCTGGAATATCTCCTTCGCCGGCTGCGGATTCCTCGGCGTCTACCACGTCGGTGTGGCCAGTTGCCTTCAAGAGCATGCCCCCTTCTTGGTGGCGAATGCCAAGAAGATTTATGGCGCTTCGGCCGGAGCCCTGACGGCTACAGCCCTCGTTTCGGGGGCCTGCCTAGGTAAGGGAGCTCGGGGGTCATCTTTCCTACCCGGGTAGGGTGGGTGCGTGGGTGGGGGAAATAGTGAAATCCCTTGTTATTTGAGGGGCAGCTTCCCTCGCTGCCCTTTCCTACTCCTGGGAGCTGTCAAAAGACCACAATCCCTCAGCCCCCCCCCCCCCCCCCCCCCCCCCCCCGCCCCCTCCCGCCTGCTCCAGTATGCCGTTGCTATCTCACGTGTTGGATCGGGAGGGAATCGATTTAGGAAAAAAATCTGCTGTACCTTTAGTGCTGAAGTATGAAGGGCTTGTGATCCACAAGGCTGATGCTTGTGGATCACAACAGAGGAAGGGGGGGGGGCAACGTTTTAGTGGCGCTTACACTTCTTAACCCAGCTTATTATTAAAAGACAAGTTTGCCTGGGTTCACACTGTCGCATGTTACACACCACATAACATGTTCTCGGACTAATAAACCAGAAGTAAGCAAATTATATTTTATACATTATAATTATTAAGAATTGATAGTGGAGTCTTAACTATTGAGTCAGACCATTGCAATGCCCAGTGCAGTGCTGTATGTTAAAAAGGTTATTTGCTGTGCTTTGATATATGCTATGATTCCTGCTCTTACACAAATCATTGTATTATTTGAGGGAGAGAATGGAATGTATACATACATGCACAGGGTTTAATTCCTCAGATCTGGTTATGGGACATGTACACTGTTATAGTTATTTTATCTCAAAAGGAGATTGGTGGGAAAGAATACATGCTCTTCCAAATGTCCAAACTGATTTATGTGGTTTCTTCCCCAAACTATGTGGTTTCTTCCCCAAACCCCCAAAACTTTAACCTTAGACTGTCTATTGACCTCACCCCTTTCCTAAGAGGTCTGTAGGGGGCATGCATAAGCACACCAACGTGCCTGCCTACCGTCCCTGTCCTATTGTTTCTTTGATTTTTCTTATATGTATCCATTTCATGTATTCATAACAATGTTTATTCTTACACCTATTATCTGGTAAGCAATTGACAAATCAAATTAAAATTAAAAAAAATGATTTACTAGTGCTAATGATAGATCCCTGTTAAATGTTGTTGTAGACTGTTCATTGTATCCAGCCTCTAAGGAAACAAATGTATGCCACAAGATATTACATGATGTTTTCTCCCACAGAACATGATTCTTCTTCATCTTTGCTAAGGTCAGGAATACAAAAAGATTTGAGATTTCTTGTTTTAAATCATTTAAGGATTGCTTCCAAGCTTTTCCCAGCAGGCAGCAAGAATTATAGATGCTTTCTTCATTTCAAGGGTAGTTTCTTTCTTTCACTTTGCAATTTCTCCTTGTAATTTCACTAAACATAAACTAAAGGAGAGCTTTACTTTGCAGTGGTTACTTAGTAGGAGCTAGAAATAGATGATGGAAATTATGTGTTTGTGTATTTGGAGTCTATCTATCCTAAAGTGTTCCTAAAATTTTATTGTTTGTTAAGTTCAATTCCTTTCTTCACCCTTGATGTTTTCTGCCATGTTTCCCAGAGAGCCTTTAACCGTAGTCCTATATATCCTGACATATATAGTACAAATTTTAGTAGGTATTTTTAAAAATGTAGATGTCTGCTTCCTGGAATTATTCAGTTTTGTAGGGTTGTAGTTCAGTACGCCCAGGAACAATATGGGAATGAATGTGCAAATTATATGAAGGGGTTCTATAGCCAGTTTTTCGCATTTTTTTTTACATTGTGGTTGGCACCATGATATGGTAGAGAGAGGAAAATTTAGGCCTGTTCACCTCCACTTTTTTTCCCTTAGAAACATTATATAACATTACATAAGTGAGTCTCCAGTTGTCTTCTCTTCTGCCAGTGCCTCCAGGGAAGGGATCACAAGCATTTGCAGACAAAAAGGAAGATATATAAAAAAAGGCTTCAAACTTCTTCACAACTGAGGAATATAAATCAAGTAAATTAACTGTCTATTAAATTTGGGTAGATATTAATTGGCTAACCATGGTTTGCTTTGATTCACACAACGACCAAAGACAAGACATTGAGGTTGTTAGTTAATGTCTGGATGAGACTGGTGAATGGATATATCCACATTGCTTTTGAAAGAACTGGGTACAGTACTTATTTATAGTTAATATTTTTATAGTTCAAAATCTTATGTTTATATGTCTCTCTTTGCTTTGAGAGAAAGATGAGGTAGACCTAACAAACATTAAGTATTTTGGTGAAGAATTCAGTCTTTCTTTTTATGAAAAGAATAGATTTATTTTGAAGATTACTAGCAAGATCTCTAGCTTGATTTTTGAGAAGTTTCTTGGTTACATTTCCAGGCACTATTGTCCCCTTCTAAAACAACTGCTTGTGAACTTTTGCCTCTTTCTCCCATGGCCACTGCTATGTTTTGGAATTACTGGATGTTCTATTTTTTTCTTGGATGTAGTTAGCTTCCAACCTGCTGACAAATTGCCCATTTGTCATAGAATACTCTGGAAGGTTTGATGCTAATGTGTGATCCTTCTAGTGTAAGGGGAAGGCTACAAATATAGAAAGTATTTTGACTTTCCCTCCCCCCCATAATTTTAAGAATTATTAAAGGACATGAAATTATCATAAGGGAGAGGTTCAAGTAGGATATTGGTTCCTTGTATACTTCTATGGGACATACTGCAATTCACAGAAAATTTATTCTGAAGTCTTCTGTTGTTTCCTGGTATTCTAATTTCCTTTGTTATAAAGAAGCTGCAGAAGGGAATCTTGACAAGCACAAAAGCATCTTGAATTCATGGTTCCAGAAAAAATGCAGAGAAAGGCATTATTCACAATGGCATAATAAATAATGCCCTATTAAATGTATTACATTAAATGTATTGTGGAAAAAACTTTGAGCATAGTGGCTAATGGGTTAATTATTATTGATTTCATACTGTTTTTCCTACCAGGTAGAGCTTAGAAAAGCTCTCAAAATCTGGAATACATATAGAGAGGAAAGCCCAATAAGAATATTGCTTCCTTGGAAATATTTATAATCCATAATATCTTGGTGACATTGTGGCCCAGGAGCAAATTCTTCAGCAAATGCTACGAGAAAAACCCTGTTTTGGACTTTCCCCTGAAGCTTTCTAGTATATGGACTAACCATATTTATGATTTAAAAGGAGTGTGTCATTAAATGGGGCAATCACCAAGAAAGTCCTCTCCTATGGGCCAAGCCCATAGATAAAACCATGAGCAAGGCCTGTCCGTCTGATTTAATCCATGGTATTAGAATTGATCTTTAAAGGATTTAGCCAGTGAAACAGCCCTGAATTGCCCCCACCCCCTTTGTAGGCAGTCTGTGTCTACAAGTTTTAAGAATCAATGTAACATGGTCTCCCTTAGCAGGCCCATTTCCCTATTTAGCAGATTGCATTATTTTGTAGCTTCTAAATTGTCTTGTAAACAAACCCAGTGAAGCAAGTGCAACAATCCAGTTAATAAGATTATGAGGGCAGGAATTATGGTGGTTAAACCTAGCTTGGTCTAGGTAAAAAGAGTTATCTAACTCTTTTTATTGCCTTGGGCAAACCATTCTATTGATTTTAACATTTAATATATTATATTAAATATTACCTGCATTTACATTTCCGGAGAAAGATTGTTCAGCCTGAAATGCCAGTTGTGACCTACTTTATTTACCAGAAAGCATGTTGCACTGTGATAGGCAAGTGATTTCATTGTTCTTTGGCATGAAATCCATGCCATCATCTTAATCATTATTATATTTTGTTATTGCTCAATTTACAAAGAAGACAGGTGAGCTCCTGTTGCCTTTGATGGGAATGGAGGGTCTCAGGTATGATGGGGGAGTTTTCTCAGAACAGAGAAGAATTAATTTACCTGTTTCCTATCTCTTCCACCTGCCAGGACTGAGTGCAAGTGCTGAGCAAGCAGAGGGTAGAAACTTGTCAAAACAGCCTCACCTCTCCAGTATCTAGGAAAAGTCAGGTCTAAGGAGTTTTCTTATCCAGAATTGTTTATCCATCTTGGTTGAATATTGAAGCTTGCGAAAAAGGAGAGGGAATTGGCCTTTGCAAATAGGAATGGCTTACCTCAGGGATGTCCAACTTTGGCAATTTTAAGACTTGTGGATTTCAACTCCCAGAACTCCCCAGCTAGCCAATTCTGGAAGTTGAAGTCCACAAGTTGCCAAGGTCCAGTTTACATGATGTACCATTAATGCAGAACTGGAAACATTCTTAAATGGCTACTCTGTGGTTGATATGTTCACTTTCTCCAAGCCTTGTTCTGTACATTTAAAATTTTAATATGTTAATGTTTAGTAATTATTTTCATAATGATTGTTTAATATTGTTTTATTCAATTGTATGTCACCCAGAGTTGCCGACTGTGAGATAGGCAGTTGAATAAATTTGACAGATAAATAAATGCAGCAATCTCATATGTTGCCTAATTGCTGCAGTACTGCTTAAAACAGTAGGGAACATGTATGTACATCCCATTGCTCATATGAACTACAACTTCTGTCATTCCCAAAGTGTTAGGTTGCTGGGGGTGATTAGAGATATAGTTGGTAATGTTATCTAAAAGCATTAGCTTGGAATGTGACATTAAATTCAATACTCACAAACATATCTTTTAAAAGCATGTGGCATCTGAACAGAATGCAGTGAGTTCTGAAGTTGTTGTTGTTTTCCTAGTATTGTCCCATGAAGATATAGTGTCTGCTTGTTTTTGTATTGCACATTTCTGGTTTACAGGGAAGCTGTCAATATATGTCAGTCATTTCGATGAAGAGTCTGACTGTCCCAAGATCAATCAGCTGGTTTCTGTGCCTGAGGGGAATTAGAATCTGTGTCTCCTCACCCCAGTCCCAACAATTTAAACTGTGCTGTCTTTAATGAGTGGTGAAGCATGTACGTAAATATGACTAGGGAAAGGTATTAGCAAGAGTTAAGGCTAAGCTAAGTAACTAACTTTAGGAACCTGAAGAGTGAGATCCCTAATGAAG